ACCCTTGGAGGCCGAAGCTGAGATATTTTGGCCAGCGGGCGACCAGTGAAAACGGCAAAGGACGGGCCGCAGAGGCAAGGACACAAGGGTACCCTAGATTAGATGAAGGCGCGCGTCCTTACTAGTAGGTGGCCGCATGTAAACCCTCTATTTCCAGGGCGGACTGGGGGTGGGGTTCGCATGTGGCCACCGAACTGGGCGCGTTGACTGTACTATACGACGTCACTGTGCGCAGTCTTTTCGTCTTCGATCTGCCGCGCCGCCCCTGCGCGCAAGCGGGGGCGGTTAGGAAGAGCGTTAAGTCAAACATGTCCCTCTACAGGAGGAGCATTCGAAATCAATCCAAAAATAGTCTGGGGACGAGGTCTCGACCATGTTTGAATAGTTTTGCATATTGTTTGGCAGTGTTTCATTGTTCTTTCGAAATCCACCTTTCCCGAGGTTCGGATGCTTTCGTCGCTTCTCGGCGGCTTCACCTCGGGGTGCCTTCCAGCAGCTGTGCCTCGCCGAGAGCGTTCCCGGGGCGCCCAAATCGCACGAGGGCGGAAGCGATGGCAATCCGACGCCGATGACGGGAAACCGAGCAGTTTCTTTCGAGGGCTGGAGGACATGCCCGACCTCAGGGGAGCGCCCCGGGGGCGCCGCCAAGGCGTCCTCCAGGGCCGCACGGTCAAGCCACCGGAGCAGCAGGCCCCGCGGGGCCGCCAGGGTTGTCAGGGCCAGGGCGAGCATGCTCGCCTCGCCCGGCCGCAGAGGCGAGAAGTCACGGGTGGCTAACGTTCTCTTCCTCCTCCTCCTCCTCCTCCTCCTCCTCCTCCTCCTCCTCCTCCTTCTCCTCCTCCTCCTCCTCCTCCTCCTCCTCCTCCCCCTCCTCGTTCTCCTCCCTCCCCCTCTTCTCTCCTCCCCCCCCCCTGGCGCGCGTGATAATAAAATGATGTCGCGCCCCGCAGGGTCTATTCATCAGCCCCGAGGGGGGGGTACGCATTCGTTAATCACAAGCGGATATTGCCTGTACCAGACCACCACATCCCAACCTGAAATTCCAACTCCCAGGCCGAAGGGGTGCGTGTTCCATCCGTGTCTCTTCCGTGTTCCTGGACGTCACACCCCCCACTGAGAATGGAGGGCAACTTCGGGCCTGCGGGTTGGGTTGCGGTAGTTCGGTGGGTTGTCAACAGGAGGAGGAGGAGGAGGAGGAGGAGGAGGAGGAGGAGGAGTTGGAGGAGAGGAGGAGGAGGAGGAGGATCAGTGGGAAGGGCAGCGGCCGATACGCGAAAGGGAAGTTCATTTTCTTATGATGCGATCCCGACCCACCGTGCCTCCAGCACGACGTGGGGTGTCCTCGGCTCCCCTGGTCCCTCCTGGCCCTCAAGGTGAAGAATCGCTCGAGAACTGCAGCATTAATATAAAGAACATGCAAAAACGCCCTGGGACCACAAGCTCTGGGCGGCTCTGGGGGCTTTCTGGTGGTTCCACGGCTTGTCGCAGAACGGTTCCCAAGGCCTGGGGACTCTTGCTAAGAACCCAGGCCTCCAGCACGCTCCAGGATGGACCCGTTGGGCCTGTCGTGGGGCCCTCCTGGGGGTGTCGTGGGCCGTCTTGGAGGCCTTGCTAATCGGCTCACAAGCCCCAAACCGTCCCAGCATTGGACCTTTTTGGGGTATTGGCGTTACTGCCTCGTCGGTCTCAAGAGCGTCCCAGACGGCAAGAGGGCTCCCCAAATCGGCCATACGACGCCCCCCTCCAAAAGGGGCCTAAGATGCCTCCAAGACGGCCAGGACAGCGGCACACCCCAAGTGGTCCTACAGAGGCCCCCCAGGGGTCCCCAAGACGCCTCGAAGAAGTCTCACAAGAATCTCCCACGAGACCCAGAGGAGGTCCCGAAGAGGCCTTCGAGAAACCCCGAATCTTCTTCCAAAAGGCCAGCCTCCCAAGAACCCGAACCTTTCCACAGTGTTCCTGGGAACCCTCTACAAGGGGCTCTCCGGGAAAATGGCGAAGAACACGCTGCGGCCCTCAACAGTTCCGCACGTCCTCACGCACACTTGCTGCGTGATGTCCTTCCTTGGGCGTACCAGTTTGATAATATCCCCCGTTGCCTCGGAACTCCCCAAAGGCCCTTGGGCTCATCGCGACGCCCCACTGGCGGTCATCGCCAAAATCGCACACATGGCAATAAGTGCCGCCAAGATGGGACAAGAAGCGCCCAAAGCGGCCACAGGCGGCCCCAGGATGTCCCAAAAGAGCCTCAGGCAGCGCCAAGATGGCCCAGAAGCTCCCGATAACGGCCATCCAAAGTCCCCACGAGCCCTCCTAAGACGATCCCACACGCACCAAGAGACATCCAGCAGGACGCCTTGCATGTCAACATCGTTAGACAAACGATTGTTGCGTTTCGGTGATGTTACATGCTGAGCTTCCGGGCGCGATTCTGAGCGCCTCGGAGAGCTCAGAGAACGCCCAAAAGCTTCCAAAGAGAACCTCACGATGGCCCTAGGGCTACCTAGGACGGCCCCCAAGGGCCCCTAAATCGCTCAACAAGGTACCTTCGGAAGGGGTTCAGGACGGCTCAAGGGATGGCAATGACTGCCCAAAAACAAAGGCACCCAAGACGATCAAGAGACCCTAAAGACGAACCAAGAGAGCCCGAATGCGGACCAATAGAGCCCTACTACAGCCCTAAAGGCAATCTCATCATCGCACCGTCCATCCTACATCGATCGTCCAAGCGCTAAAAACTACTGAGATGAGCGAGGAATGGATGGTGAGGAACGATGAGAGTGTTGACTGATAGGAGATGGAAGGGCTAAAGGAATGATATAATGTGAATCGTACTGGGAAGGTGGCGTTTGAGCGGTAGACTGGAGGAAGAGGAGGAACCGTGCGAACCAGTATTCAAATAGCACTGGGAGGGGCAAAAATCGTAAGAGGAGCGTGAAACAGGACCGACTTGATGGAGATCCGCGACCGCATCGCCATTCCCCCAAGATAGAATGGTCAGGCCGCCGTGTCATCACCTTTCACGCTTAGAAAAAGGAGAAGCGATCGTCAGCAATAACAGAGTTGCCCCTCGTCCCAAGAGGGAGCGGGGAGGCGGCCGTGGCACCACATCCCCCCCTGAAGCGCCATGAGGTGGCCGTGCGAACGCCGCTCATCCGTAGGGGGCGGAGGGGCATCGCTTCCCACGAGAGTGCAGCAGCTGATGAGCGGCTACGCCACCGCTCGCTCTGGACAAGGCTCTCGAAGGCGCACCAGCCCCCGTCTCCCGACGCCATCCGTTGGAACAAAAAGGGGAAGGAACAAGTAGGGAGCGGCCGCGAAGGGCGGCCGTGCCATACGCCTTCACCGTCCACGGGCGCAGAGGGCGGCGCGCCAACGCCTCTCTGCTCACCGTCACCACTCAGTGGAAGGGTGTCCACCCCTGGCCATGGGCCCCGCGGGGGTGGGGGGGAGGGCGCGCCATCCACTGAACGGTCACGATCACGATCACGATCACTCCTCCTCCTCCTCCTCCTCCTCCTCCTCCTCCTCCTCCTCCTCCTCCTCCTCCTCCTCCTCCTCCTCCTCCTCCTCCTCCTCCTCCTCCTCCTCCTAGGGGGTCGCGCATGGGTTCGGGAGAGGTGGCTGGCATTTCTGCGTTTCCGAGCGGTGCTCGCCCGTGGGCGCCTCGTGGGTGCCCCGTGCGCTGGCGGGCACTTCCTGGTTTTGGCCCCCCGGCAGGCGCCCCTGGGCGCCCAAAGCGTTGGCTGGCGCTCTTCCCGGCTGCGCCGAGTGCCCAACCCGGGGGGCGTCCCGCGGGCGCTCCCTGCGCTGGCCCGCGTTGCAGGAGCTTGCGCCCTAGACCGCCTTTCTCCCAAACATAGGGGAACAAAAAGTGGCATAAACATAAAAACTCGGAGGTCCGCGCGGATTTCTCGGATCGGCGCTGGGGCCCCCGGCGGCGCCTCTGGCGCCGCCCCTGGCGCGCTCCGCGCGCCAGGGAGGGGGGTCCAGCGCCGATCCGAGAAATCCGCGCGGACCTCCGAGTTTTTATGTTTATGTCATTTTTTGTTTCCCTAAACCAAGATTCGCCCCCCACGCACACACCCCACCGAGGCCAGGGTTGATCGGCACACCTTTGCGCGCATTGTGTCGTGTCATACGTCTTAGGCCTCATCGCTCATCCAAAACATGAAGTGAGACGATTCCGGCCAGACGGGTATCGACCCCCTCCCACATCGCCTGCAAACATGTATGTGGTGAACATACGACGATCTGAGACATGATCTCGATAATCGTCTGCCACAAAGACGCGCCGCCGCGCGAACATGTTACAATCATTCCAAGGACCCATGTTTTTTCATCATGGTGGTTATTCAACCAAGAACTTGCCACAAACCTTCGCGCGCACACTCGCCATGCTGGCCACACGCGCGCGCATTCCGACAACATCAATTGGCACATCGGGCGGGCGGGACATTAAAGCAAGCGGGCGGGATTTCAAGTGATCGGACGGGCGGAGCCTCACGGGCGAGCCGGGCACCCGGACCCTAATGGGCGGGTCGGGCGGCACATTGCAGCGGGCGGGCGGGCGTCCAAACAGGCGAACGGGCAGTCGGGCGGGCGGGGCGGTGAAGCGAACTTCGTAACTTATGATGAACTCTGAAGCGAGAGCACAATTTCGCACCGCCACCTCGGACCACTCGTCCGTTACCCCCCGCTGCTCCCGATCCTGTGATTTGTTTCTGCGAACAAGGCGCACACGCGCGCGACCCGTCTGCTCTGGAGGAGGAAGAAAAAGAAAATCATAGCCTGATAAATACATTTGTTTTGGGGGTGTTGCTTGCGACTGCAACAAAGCACCACATTTCGCGGCATGGGAAAGGTACGTGCCCGCGTACTTTGGAACTCAGCAGCGGCAGCCAGGGGCCACGCAGTGAGATCGGTGGTGCCGTACGGTGAGCATCGCAGCTCAGGAGAAAGCGGCGCTCGCAGCTCGGGAGAAGGGCCGCTCGACGCACGAGACTCAATGTTCCGCCGCTCCCGGCACCGAAAAGGGGATGATCACGGAGTCCCCGTCTGAACGGCTTCCCCTCCAGAGGGCCCGCGAAGGGGGCCACACGGTCTTACACAAACCCTGGAACCAGTGCTGAAGTAGGACACCATGGTGCATGTCCTCGGCGTCGCGGTGCAGCCTTTGCCGTCGTCGGGCTCCGACCGTTCCGCTTCCACGTGGGCACCCCTTCGCGGAGTCTGCAACTGCGGGGAAATATGGGACGCACAAGGACATACTAGTATTTCATGTCCACCTTAGAAGCGCGCGTTCGGCCCGAACATATTGCATACCCATCTTGCAGTAGATCGTTTCCCGAGCAGCGTGGCCAGAAAGCGCCCGCCACGACCCATATACTATAAGATGTTTCGGTGCGCGCGTCGCCCCTGGGAGGGGTATTAGTATGTTGGGGTGACACCGAAAGTAAATAAGGTTTTGTTGGACACGCGCCCTCCCCGCGGGCTCCAGTCCGTCTATTCTTGCGCGGTCGGCTCCGCTGCGGGCGGCGCCGTCTGACGGCGCGCAGGAGGCAGCGGGGCGCACCAGAAAATCTCGGAGGGCAGGACATCTCCTGCGAAGGCTTCGAGCGAGGCTGAGCAGCCTCAGAGGCACTCACAAGGACATTCAGAAACGAACAGTGGGGAGAAACAAACAAGCAAACAAAACATCGTAGTTCGGTCGCTTCCCTGCCCCTTTCCCCTCCCAGACGGGAGGGGGGTTAGGAGGGGGGTGACGCAAAGGCAGAGCAGCCTCAAAGGCACTCCGCGCGGTGCGACGGCTGGCCCGTCTTTTCGCCCCGCTGCCGGCTGCGCGTCCCCGGGGGTCGGCGCGGGCAGGGTCAGCGAGGCGCAGTCGGCTCAGCGCGTCAGCTCTTGGAGAACCGGGTCCTCGATTTGGACGCCGCCTTGGCGCCCGAGCTCGAGGTGAAGCTCCCGGAGAAACCGTTCCGGCTTCGCGTCATGCCAGCCATTATCATGGCATTCATCATCACGATGTTGCGTTCATGGCACTCATTACGACGCTTCCCAGCGCGTTCCATGACACTCATCATCACGATGATGATCCCACGAAGAAGCACGACTGGATGCATGCGGAGGGTTTGCGTTCCATGTGTATCCATCGCCCTGCCACACCAGTGCGTCATGGCACTCATCATCATGATCGCGTTCCTGCTGCGACGACGCAAGCAGAACATGTAAATGCTTCCCTGGGACGCGTAAGTCACCAGAATCCGTTACCTTTTGCTTTTTGCTGTGGACAGAGGCCCAGCGGGTCGCGCACGCGTGCGCCTGGAGCCTTCTTCTCGACCTTTTCTTCCTTCGCCCCCGCCTCTTACATCTCCCCCTCTCTTCCTCCCCATCCAAATCCTGCTCCTCATCCCGTTGCCCTCCATCCCCCTCTCCTATTGCTCCTCCTATTGCTCCTCCTTCCGCATATATTCCTCCTCCTCCTCCTCCTCCTCCTCCTCCTCGTCTTCTTCACCACCACCACCACCAGTTCTCTCATCATCTCCCTATCATGCTGCTGCTCCTACGCATCCATCCTTCCCTCCCTCCTTCCCCACCCTCCTTCCCTCCCTCCCTCCATCCCCCCATCCCTGCCTCCCTCCATCCCTCCCCCCTCTCTCCTCCCCTCCTCCCTGAACTGAACAATTTCTTCGCCGCGGCCTCCTACAATACCAAGCATCGCTCGCCATGTTTGTCCCACCCACCCCCGAGCTCACCCACAGCAGCAGGTGCTGGCTCATGATGCACATGGAGGGGTAGTCTAGTGGTAAAAATATATCGCAATTTCTTGAACGGCTTGGATCTGAGCCTCCTTGTTCGCTGCGAAGGCCACGCGCTGCCATTCGGGAGCACACCCAACGTCGGATCGGCAGGCGAGCAGTCTCCCAAACATCATCGCACTCACTTGCGGCAAAATGCACACGGCTTGGAAGAAAGAAGCAGGAGAAAACACGGAAGGACCGCGTGTCGTGCCAAACTTAACACGCGCGCGTGCTCCTGTGCTGATGGTGATCATGCGCGCCCACTGCATGCACATATGTTAGAATTGTGCCCTGCTTCGGGCTGGTGTGGCACTGAGGACGCCACTGCGCAGATACCAAACGGAAGAGAGCTGGAACAACCATGTCCGGCGGTGGCCAAGGGTAGCCCCGACCTCGTCTTACAACTCGTATAGCGGCGCCCCATGTGTTTCGACAACATCTGCATCGGTCTCTTGGGGCAGACGTTATGATGGGTGTCTAGTGGCCCAACCTGTAAAATGTGGGACCCACCATTTCTATCGCCGGGCGGGGCTGCCATCCGGGCGCCACTATGATCAAGCACCCTCGCGGACTCACATGCAACGCCCCACGAACGGAAAACTTTACATTTTTACCATGGCAGACGGAGCTCCCGGAGAGAGAGAACTTGCCAGCAGGCTTCGTGAACATGTGTGGGCATGAACTTGGCGGCGCGCACAAGGGGGTAGGGGGAGGGGGGAAAGGCTTCTTAGAAGGAGGCTGCTTCTTAGAAGGCGCCGGCCTTACATCTACAAAGAAGGCCCGCGCCTTCTAAGAAGCAGGGGTGCTTCTAAGAAGCCTTCCCCCCTCCCCCTACCCCCTTCTGCGCGTGGCCAGTGAACGAAGGGGGGCACAGTTGAGCATGATTACTACGTGCCAGCAAATATCATTACCCAAGTCCCCTATTGTGGGGATCTTATTGTAGGCACATGTGCGCGTATGTCCTCCTTCGCTTCCTCCCTTCCCGTATCCCCTCAGGACAACTCACATCCACACCTGGCCATATCCACATGCAGTCCTCGCTCATCGGTTCCTTCCTCCCTGGTTCCTCTCTGCCTTCCTTCCTTCCTCGATCCCTTCTCACCGTTATACCGCCTCGCATCTTCCTTCCATTCGTCATCTCCTGGCTCTCCCGTGCACTCACCCACCACTGGTACTTCCCAATCCATACTCACATCCACCCACTCGCGCTCATCCATGCGGTAGTGCGGGGCCAAAGCAAATTGTATCCAGCACATTCCGCAACTCCACCTTTCCCTACCCCCTCAGTTCGTCCGACCCGACTCTTCTCCAATCAGCTCCCTTTCTGCTTGCGCATATCGCGAGGAGGTCATTCTGGGGCTTCCATGTCCGATATGACACCCATCGGCGAATATAGAAAAGTCAGCACACCGGGGAGGAATGGGTGGGATGGGTAAAATGTTCGATATGGCGCAAGCGCACCTGCCTTGCTCTCTCCCTCTCTCTCTCTTTCTCTCGCCTTCTCCAACTCCCCTGTTTCGGTTCTGGGCCATCGCTCAGCTCTCCAGCTGCATCTCGGGAAGATCTGGGCACTCCCAGAACGCTCTCGGCGAGGCGCAGCTGCTGGAGAGCATCCCGAGACTGGGAAACCGCCAGGAGCCGACGAAAACATCCGAAAACCTCGAACCTCGAACCCCTTCCGTCCGACCCGACTCTCTCTCTCTCTCTCTCTCTCTCCCACTCCCCCTCTTTCGGGCGTGCACCTCCGCGCGCATCGCGGCTGCGCGCGGGCGCTGCCGCGGGCGCTGCCACGGGCGCTGCCGTGGGCCCGTCAGTTGCGCTTGCCCCCTCGGCTCCGGCTCCGGCTGTAGCTGCTCCTGCTACTCCGGCTGCGGCTGCGGCTGCCGCTCCGCTTCCGACCCTGCCGAGGAAGGGCGGCAAGCTGCTCTGCGTCGAGCGACCCCCGCCCGAAATCGCGAGGCGTCGGGAATCCGCTGACCCAGGTCCATCCAAGCCCTGCCAGCCAGGGCTTGCAGGTTTCCTGCAAGATCCTGCAGGATCCTGCACACAGACCCGGGTCAGTGCACCCCTGGCTCCCCAGGCCCCCGACGCCATACTTTCTTCATGAAGTCGACCCCCAGAGGTCTGGACCCCTTCCCTGGGCCCGTTTCTTAATGCCGCGTCGATTTCTAACGGTCCCGAGGCCCAATTGGGGCTCCCAGAGGCCGCCCAGAACGACAAACCTCCCGTCGTGATTTTGTTCACAACGCGAGGGAGCCTGGGTTTGCATCGACCCCCGGCTCCTTCGGGGGCGGCCAAGAGGGGGGCAAGAGGGGGGCGTCCAAGAGGCAGGGGCGCAGATCATGGCCGGTGGCACGTGCGCGGCCCAGGGTGGGGGGGGGGGCCGGGAACGCACTGAAATGAGCAGGGGCGCCCTGAAATCAGGGGAAAAGTCATGGCCCCCGCCATGATAGGGCGACGAGATCTATGCATATCCACTGCTCCCTGGCCAGGCCCATCCTCAACCCCGCAGCGGTGTATACGCCACGCCCTCCTGGCCTGGCCAGGGAGGCATATACACAGCTCCTGGGTTCAGGATGGGCCTGGCCAGGGAGCAGTGGATATGTATAGATCTCGTCGCCCGACATGAGACCCACACCCCCTCGCCTTGGAAGGGACCTCCCAAGCCCTCGTCAGGATGGCACGCCCCCACACGTCGGAGAGCGCAGCGCCCCCCCGGCTCTCTTGAGCCCAGGCGGCGGGGGGTCCCCCTGGGAGCACCCGGGGGCCCGCCGTGGGCCCCGGCGGCCGTGGCATATATGCGGCCGGCGTGTGTCGAAGGGCGCGGGCTGGGGGGGGGGTCCGCAGGGAGCAGCGGCGCGCGCTGGGCCTGGCGGCCGCGGTGCGCGTAGGGTGCGCGAGGCGAGCCGGGAGCTCAGGGTCCCAGGGGGGGGATATGTAATCAACGTGTGGTGCTCTGGGCCCCCAGGCTGGACCACCTCTTGCGCGGCATCTGGGAGCTCAGAGTTGCGAGAACGTCTTGTGCGAAACGGGCCGGATCACCTTGCGCACGGCATCTCAGAGCTCAGGGTTGCGAGGATGTCTCAGGCGAGACGGGCCCGACCACCTCGCGCAGGGCATCTCAGAGCTCAGAATTGCGAAGACGTCTCAGGCGAAACGGGCTGGACCACGTCGAGCGCGGCATCTCCGAGATCAGAATTGCGAGGATGTCTCAAGCGAAATGGGCTGGACCACCTCTTGCGCGGCAGCTCAGAGCTCAGAAATTCGAGGCTGTCTCAGGCGAAACGGGCCAGACCACCTCGCGCGCGGCATCTCAGAGCTCAGAATTTCAAGGACGTCTCAGACGAAACGGGCCGGACCATTTCTCGCGCGGCATCTCGGAATGCAAAAGCGCGAAGATGTCTCAAGTGAAGCGGGCCGGACCACCTCTTGGGCGGCATCTCGGGGCTCAGAGTTTGGAGGATGTCTCAAGCGAAACGGGCCCGACCACCTCTCGCGCGGCATCAGAGAGCGCAGAGTTGCGAGGATGTCTCAGGCAAAACGGGCCGGACCACCTCGCGCACGGCATATCAGGTCTCAGAGTTTGGAGGATGTCTCAGGCGAAACGGGCCGGACCACCTCTCGCGCGGCATCTCGGAGCCCAGCGTTTCGAGGATGTCTCAGGCGAAATGGGTTGGACCACCTCTCGCACGGCATCTCAGAAGTGAGAGTTGCAAGGATGTCTCAGGCGAAACGCGCCGGACCACCTCGCGCACGGCATCTCAGAGCTCAGAGATTGGAGGATGTCTCAGGCGATACGGGCCAGACCACCTCTTGGGCGGCATCTGGGAGCTCAGAGATTGGAGGATGTCTCAGGCGATACGGGCCAGACCACCTCTCGCGCGGCATGTGGGAGCTCAGAGTTTGGAGGATATCTCAGGCGAAACGGGCCGGACCACCTCTCACGCGTCATCTGGGAACTCAGAGTTTGGAGGATGTCTCAAGCGAAACGGGCCGGACCACCTCTTGCGCGGCATCTGGGAACTCAGAGTTTGGAGGACGTCTCACGCGAAACGCCCAATCCCGGACAACTCAGAAACGAGAGGTGCGAGGATGTCTCAGGCGAAAAGGCCCAGACCACCAAATCTTTTTGAGGACGTCTCTGCTTTGAATTCCCTCGGCAGGAGTTAGCTCCTATCACGACAGCACCCCGTTCAGCAAGCTGTTTGGGGAACAAAAAAAAACGTTTGGCGATTCCCGCGCGGATTTCTTGGAGCTCCGCGTGGATTTCTTGGATCTGCGCTGGACCCCCCTCCCTGGCGCGCGGAGCGCGCCAGGGGGCGGCACCGTAGGCGCCGCCAGGGGGAAGAACTGAATGCAGACGGACGCGATGGCACTAAGCGCCCCTCCTGGAGGTACACGTCCGAACCGAACATGTCGTGGAAACTTCTTGCAATATATCGTTGCCCAGGCGGTACGGCCAGAAGGCGCCTGCCACCGAGCATATACTGTAAGAGTTCTGAGCGTGTACGTCGAACCCAGAGGGCCGACACACACACACACACACACATTCGCACACGCACGCACACACGCACACACACACACACACGCACGCACGCACACGCACGCACACACACACAATACAAAAGAAGTGAGTGCCAGTGGCTGGCTCCCTGGATCCAGCTGCGATGGAATATTTGGGCATAGAACTGCTGATCAACACAGAACTCCTCGTTTACACAGATGCTACACCCACTGCAAACAAAAAAGCGTCGGGGCCAGCGATGATCTCTACAACGGAAGCACCACATAATCCCACAAGCTCTTTGGGCTAAGCTTTTCCCTTTGGGGAGGGGTACCCTCCCCCTCCCCTCCCTGAGATTGTCTGCGGGGGTTCGCGAGGTGTCAGGTGTCCTTTTTCGCCCAAGATGGTTCCAAGAGGGCCTTTGATGCTCCAAGATGGCCTCCAAAGCGGCTCAAGATAACCGAAGACGGTTCGAGATAGCTTCTGACATACCTCCAAGAGCCTGACGAGGCCCTTTCTCGCCTTTTCGCGTCCGAATCTCTCTTGAGGCCTCAAGATTGCCCCAAGGTGAACCAAAAGAGAGCACCAAGAGGGGCCCAAGAGGTACCCCAGGCGGCCCCGAGCGCCCAGGAGCGCCCCAAAAGGGCCCCAAGAAGGCCCCAAGAGGGCCCCAAGAGGCGATGTTGATGGCTCAGTGGGGGAGGGAAATTTAAGACCCCCCCCACTCTTGTCGCCGATAGCCTTCAAAATGGCCTGAGGAGGCCCTCCAGGGCTCGCATGACGGCCCCAAGAGGGCCCCAAGACGGCGACAAGAGCGCCCCTCCTCCTCCTCCTCCTCCTCCTCCTCCTCCTCCTCCTCCTCCTCCTCCTCCTCCTCCTCCTCCTCCTCCCCTCGCCCTGCCGAGGGCCTCAGCCACATCCACTTTCGCCCTCCCGCTCGAACAGACATCCAAGAACACAATCTCTACGTACAGGAATGGAAACAACATGTGCGGTGATGCGGGCACGATGCAAGCCGCAGTCCAGATTGAAAAAAGGCTCGGCGCAATTGGGTGCAATCGGACTCGGCGATACAGGCCAGTTTGAGGACCCCAGCGTAAGGACACGACATGCCTACAGCGTTCCATAAAGTACGGAGGGTCGCAAGGGAACGACGTGTGCACGGAAGCATCGTGGCACACTCTTTGGCCACCATTCTCCCTGGAGGAGCAGACACCCACATGAATAGCGCATCCATTCTAGACGCAATTAGCTGAGAACGCACTTTTCCCTCGGCGGCGAGTTGCGCATCAGCCTCGAGGAAACCAGCGCACGGGACGAGAAGTCTCAAGCGGCAACAAGTCGAGAGCGGACTGCGGAACACCCACAGCACCTCGAAGGGGTGGGTGAGAGTGACGGGGCAGAGGCGCGGGCGAGCCGCCCCCAGGAGTGGCCCCCGCGCGTAGCCCCCCGAAGTGCAGCCCGTAGCCCTCGTGTATAGCCCCCCGAAGTGTAGACCCCAAGTGCAGCCCTGAAGTGCAGCCCAAAAGTGTAGCCCACAAAGTGTGGCCCCCAGCGGCCTGGCCCTCCATCCAGCCACGCACGCGCAGGCAGAGAGTACAGTCAACCAGTACAAGAAGGACGCACGGTAAGGATGCAAGGGCCTTGGAAGGGCATGTCGACACGCTGCGGGCGGGGCGCGGCCAGCGAAAGCGGCCAAGGATGGGCCGAAGGGGAAGGATGCAAAAGTGACCTTGGAAAATTGCTCATCCTTGCTATGCGGGTTGACTGTACCCTGAGATCCGACGTCGCACAAAAAATGCAGCATCGTGAACAAACTCGACCAAATCCCCTGGACCGCATCTTTCTGCTACATGGTTCGAGCCAGATCGATCCGTGAGGGCCCCGGGGCCTGCAGCAAGACAAAATCGCCCGCTGCGGAACAGCTGCGACGCCAGGGACTCAGTAGCTCTGGAGAGTGGCCCATCCTTACTATGCGAGTTGACTCCAAGACCGTCTGCGACCTGCCCGTCGTCGTCGTCGTCGTCGTCGTCGTCGTCGTCGTCGTCGTCGGAGCTGCGGCAAAGGCCCCGCGGTTGCCCCTCGGCCTTCCGGGCCGCAGCGGCAGCGGCGCGCTCCCGGCTCTTCCCTCGGCCGCGGCTGCGGTCGCGGCTGCGGCTGCGGCTGCCGCTGGGGGGGCTCCTGCCAGAGGGGACCCACCGGGACTCCGCGGGGAGGGGAGGATTCGGGGGCAGGGCTCGGGCCTTTCTACCCACCTCTTCGCGCCTGCCCTCCGCCCCAGAGAGGCCAGAACGTCCCGCAATGTCCAGGGGGGGGAGGGCCGGATCCCCGACGTCGCCGATCTTTCATGGAGCTGAAAACCCAGATGTCCCAAGCCCCCCCCCAAGGGAACGATGTTTCACCCTGGGCCGTTTTTCGACGGCCCTGGGGACCCGCGAAGAGCCCCAGGAGCCCGAAAGAGGCCAAGACCTCCCACCGCTTTTTGAGGGGGAACGATAGGGGGACCAGCTCAGGGGGGAGACATCGAGCCGGAATCAAGATACATCGCCGATAGATCAGCGGCAGGCCCCCGAGGGCCAATCCAAACGTTCCTGGGCGGAGTGGGCCATCGGGCCCCGTATCGGCGATCCGTAGGCGATTCGGGGGATCCATGCACCTCCTGGGCCTTTTCCCCCCGAACGCTGCCCCTGACGCTTCCTTCACGGCACGAGGCGGGGGTCAGGCGCAAACTCACATGGATTCGGCATGCGCGGAACTGGCGTTAGGTCGGGTATGTCCCCCTACAGGCCGATTTTGGACAGAAACGCAAGCAAACAAAATACCCAACAAATGCTCAGAAATAATCGTCCCCTGAATATTTCTGTTGCTCTTTTTGGATGCTCCTCCTGTCAAGGGACAGGCCAGACTTGACCCTGACGTTGTCCCTGGTGCTTCTTTCCTTCACGGCACGAAATGGGGGTCGGGCGCACGCTCGCATGGGACGCACATGGACATACTAATACTATATGTCCTCCTTGGAGGCGCGCGTCCGACCCGAATATGTAGTATACCCATCTTGTAGTATATCGTTTCCCGAGCGGTGTGGCCAGAAAGCGCACGCCACGACGCATATACTATAAGATTTCTCGGTGCGCGCGTCGCCCCTGGGGGGGCGACGCACATATAGTATAAGTATGTTGGGGTGTTGCCGATCGCATGGATTCGAGATGCGCGGAACTGGCGCGCGGTCGGCAGACCCGTGCATCGGGGAAGGCGCCCCCCGAGAGATGGCGCCCACGCAGCCTCATCCGGCGACGGAGGGCGCCGATCCCTCATGTGGAAGCGCGACCCGCCATCAGTCCAGGACTGCGCCTCCTCGAGGAGGAGGAGGAGGAGGAGGAGGAGGAGGAGGAGGAGGAGGAGGAGGAGGAGGGAGGAGGAGGAGGAGGAGCAGGAGGAGGAGGAGGAGGAGGAGGAGGAGCAGGAGGAGGAGGAGGAGGAGAAGGAGGAGGAGGAGGAGAAGGAGGAGGGGGAGGAGGAGGAGGAGGAGGAGGAGGAGGAGGAGGAGCTCAAGTTGAGTTCCCCCCTTGAACCATCGGCCTCAACGGCTATTGGCAGGAAATCCACAGGGCGGCTGTGCAAGCCTTTGGGAAACAAGAAAATCGGCCCAGAAAGCCTCAACTCCAACCGGCTACCTTTGCCATGATCCGCGCCCGCCGCGCCGTCCGAAAGGCGTGATTCCTTACGCGCCAGGCTTGTCTCCAGGGCGAGGACTTGTGCTTGAGCCCACGCACGGGTGGATCCCGAACACACTGCACTGCGCTTGTGGGTCGCTTTTAAAAAATCTCGCTGTCAGTGTGAGCAAAGGGGACTTACATACTGCGTTAGGGCTTACTTACCGATGTCACCATCAAGAACAGCATACCCCCCTTTTTGGGAAATTTGGACCCCCTTCACTGAGCAGTGCAAAAAGTTCGTTGACAGACACATCGATGTTTACGAATTTCGCCTTGTGCTCATCTCTTTGTTAAGCAGATCTGCCCCCGTGCTTCAGGAGGCGCTTGGCCATGGCTACAAGATGCTGTTACTTCAGCATGAAAGTCACGCTAGGCAGTCGATCGATGGCCACATTCCGAAGAAAGAATGGCAGCCCATCCGCGCTTTGCTTAGATGGGGGGGCGTTGTCATCGTACCCCCCTGGCCACTCCCCTTTTCCGGACGGACCCCCAAGGCCACGTCCTATCTGATCCCCAAGAGGACGCGAGAGATATGCAGGAGCATGTTGCCAAACTCGAGGGGGGCGAATCGTGGATCGCGCTGAGGCTGCTCAGAAGTACTCCCAGGCTTCTACCGCGTTGCCTGCCGTCGGCCCCTTCCAGATTGATAACATCGCCACTCTGCATGAAGTTGGAATGTTGATCCGCTCCACCTCGAGAAGGCGAGCCCCAGGACCTGACGGAATCACCGATGATATTATTCGGGCGGCTCCTAGAGAGGCGGCTCGACTGATGCACCCCCTGTTTGTCAAAATGGATATGACGGCACATGAGCCTCATGAGCTTCGGCTCGGCCAAGTGGTGTCTTTTTATAAAGGAAAGGGAGATCAGGCCATGGCTGCTGCGCAACGTAGCATCCTGTTGTGCAATACCTGTTTGAAGCTTCACCATCAGTCCATCCGATCGAGAGCCAAAGAACTGATGTACCTCATGCTTTGCCAGGAGCAGATAGGAGGTAGACCAGGGCGATGGGACGGATGTCACATGTCTTTTCACCCGTTGCCGCCTGCAGGAGCTGGCCAAAAAAAACAGACTGCCATCGTTGTGTATATGGATCTGGTCGCGGTGTTTTACTCGATGTCTCGCCAACTTGTGCTGCCCTTTCCCCGGGAGGTGGAGAAGCTTCAGGATGCGATGTCGGCCTCCCCCCTGCCCCCGATTCACCAAAACACTGTGCTCCAGCTTACCGAGACGCCAATGTTAGACACGGCTCTCGAAGACCACCACTTGCCTGCGCTTCTTCGAAGTACGCAAGCTGGCAATGCGTAGCAGCATCGGGGCGCTGAGAAGTTCGCGTTTCCGCCTTTTGGGTCGAAGCCTGGATCCGCGCTGGCCTGCGATATTGTCAACCTCGCTTTTTCCCCGGTAATTCAAGGCATTCGGCACGATATGACCCAAGGAGGGCATCTTGCTCCGACCCCAGCGACTGAAGGCCCGTTCGCTCCTACCACGCAAGCTCCGCGAAAGCCCGACGCGTCCACTGCGCACGTCGATGACCCAACGTCCATAGGGTCCTGCGACGACGCTAGTTTGGCGACCATGATCGGAGGCCATATGTTAGACGCTGTACACGGAAATGCCTCCAGGCAGGGTTTGCAACTTAACGCTAGCAAAAACGATGCTCATGATATGCCCATCGGGAAAGAACGCGCGTCGCACCGAGCGACATCTGTTCGGAGTTGAAGGGGGTGGAGGGGGGACCACGTGGTGTCAGGAAAATATGGCGCGGGAGTCTGGGTTGTCCGCCAACGCAAACCTCATCGGCACCATTATAACTGACAAACTTGCGCAACACCAGGAGATTACTCATAGAGTCATGCAGATGCGAAGCGAACTTCGGCCCATCCGCGCCGCCTTGGCGCCCAGGCGGCGGCTTCCTGACAGGAGCAAGGTTCGGTACGTGGAAAGCTATGCGTCTTCTAAGCTGGTTTACAACATTTGTTGTTGAGACCCCCTTTTACCCCCGCCCAGAACAGGAGAATGCGTAAAGCTCAAACTGATGTGTATGGGGCGGTTCTGGCTATGCCAACGCATCGCGAAGGAACCAACTTCCCCCAGAGTGAAATCCTTTGGAGAGCGGAGAGATTGCCGTTTAGCGACATTCACCGCGTTGCTCGTCTTCGCTTCTTGGCTCGTGTGTTGCAGCATGCGTCCCCCGCTCTCCTTGCTCTTCTCAACTGCTTGCTCTCTGCTAAGAACAGATGGGTCCAAGGCCTCCAGAGTGACGCTCAGTGGATGATACGATATGTTCGGAAATGTGAAGTGCCAGAGGAAGGGTCCTTTGATGCTTGGATCCTTGATGCCCGCCGGCAGCAGGCGGGGTTCCGCGCCCTTGTGGCCACGGTTGCGCAGCGCGCGTTGGCTGAGCGAGCTGAGAGGTCTGAGAAAGACAAACATGAGCGCCGTTTGCGGGACACGACTCTCGGATTAACCATTGACTGCAATTGTGGCGCGCCCCGTCCCGACAATCCTGCTGCTCTGGTCCACTACCCTTGCTATGAGTGTGGGCTCCATAGTGCGAGTGCGCGCGCTCTTCGGGCCCACATGACGATCATGCATCCCAGCAAGGCGGATCCCGAACAGTGTGTTGATGGATCGTGCTGACCGGTGTGTAAAACGGAGTTCCATACACGATCTCGACTGATCAAACACCTTAGGAGGGTTCCGACTTGCATGCGCACGTGGGTTGACAGTGGCATTGCTTGTGCGCCGATATCTGACGAGGTTGGGAGCCAGACCAGACAGCACCAAAAAAGTACCGATCTTTGGGGCTGCATGACAATGATGCGGTTCGCCCAGCTCATAAGCGGACCTATGGGCCCCCCTTGGTGTCCGTGAGCCTGGAGACGATCCTCACAGTGACCCTCAGCCGTTGCCTGTGGCCGTCTCGATTGCGGGCCCTCCCCAGCCCCCGTCTTCCTCTTGTTATTCGGCCGTCTCCGTTGCACCTCTTGAAAGCCCTGTGTGGTTAGTTATCGAGGGTCAGGACGAGGCTAATTCCCGCATTGAGTGCCTCCTCCGATACCACAGGGACGCGCACCACATTGCCCCCCAAGTGGTGCGACTGAGGAGCGCCCAACATCTTGAGATATGGCACTGGTGTTGCCGTGCGCTGGACCAGGAAGTGGTGGGGATCATTACGGCCCCCCCGGAAGGGACGTGGGATCCTCGTCGCTATAGTGTGGAGGGAGGCGGTCGGCTTAAGCGTCCTCTTCGATCCGGTGCCTGGCCCCACGGTCTGGATGCTTTAAAGATGAAGAAACAGAAAGACGTGAGAGAGGCCAATAGGTTGTGGAGGATGTCTGAAGCGTTGATGTATGCTGCTGCTCACGCCCGCATCCCCTTTGTTCTTACTCACCGTTTCATCCCTGCTTCGTTACCCTCGCCATGGGCCTCCTTGCCGACTCAGTGGGCGAAGCGACAGGACATGCTGATTTACGTCGTCCATCCGCTCTGTAGGCCCACGGGAACCACCTGCTAGCAGGCGGTTCTGGCGAACAGAATCAACACTGCACGGATTGAATTTGGAGAGAGTGGCGAGGAGGGGGGCATGTGGAATGACACGCTTCCCTCCGATGTTGTTCTCTCGCTTGTTACCTGCTGTGTTACTGCCACCACCGATATGGGTGTATGGGGGACGGACCCGTACTGCGATGGGGATATGCCCAAAAGGGGCTATGAGGAGGGCCCTGGCTGAGTCGTCGTCCCTCTCTCCGCACTGATTTTTATCCTTAGGAAAGGATGCTTGAACCAATTGCCTATAGCTCGAGAGAGAGAGAGGAGGCGGCGGAGGAGGAGGGGGAGCAGCAGGAGGAGTAGGAGGAGGCGGAGGAGGAGGAGGAGGCGGAGGCGGAGGCGGAGGCGGAGGAGGAGGAGGAGGAGCAGCCTCGGTCCTTCCGCCCTCCCCCTGGAGGTCCTGCTGCTGCGACTGCGCTTGCGGCTGCGGCTGCGCTTGCGGCTGCGCTTGCGGCTCCTGGACGTGCTCCTGCTTCGGCCTTCTCGCTTCGCTGGCTTCGCCGCCTTGTCGGCCTTCGGCGCCTCTGGCTTGCTCGTCTTCTGCTTGCCGTTGTCCTTGTCCTTGCCCTTCTCGCTGTCCTTGTCCTTGTCCTTTTCTCTGTCCTTCTCCTTGTCCTTCTCTTTGTCTTTATCCTTGTCCTTCTCTTTGTCCTTTTCCTTGTCCTTTTCCTTGTCCTTCTCTTTGCCCTTGTCTCTAGCCTTCTCTTTGTCTTTATCATTCGCTTTCTCTTTGTCCTTCTCTCCAGCCTTATCTTTGTCCTTTTCTCTGACTTTATCCTTGCCCTTTGTATCTTTGTCTCTCTCGCTCTCCTTATCCTTGCCCCGCTTGTCGTCCTTTTTCTTTGCCGTCTTCGGGTCCTTCGACTCCTTGGCTGCCTTCGAGGCCTCCTTCGTCTCCTTGGCTGCCTTCGAAGTCTCCTTTGTCTCCTTCTCCTTCGTCTCCTTGGCAGCCTTCGAGGTCTTCTCCTTCTTCTCCTTCTTCTCCTTGCCACTGTCCCTGTCCTTGCCCTCGGCCTTCCTGGCCTTCTGCTGCTCGGCGAAGCGCGGCATGAAGACCCACAGATATGGCAGCGGCCGGTTCGGCTCCGCCGGCGGGGGAGCAGGGCCGTCGCCGGGCGTCACGCACAGCTGCACCGAGCCCGCCTGGCCAGCGGACTCGATGCGCGCCTTCAGCCCCTCGTGGTCCGCGACGAAGTTGTTCCGGACGTCGAAGCGCAGCGGGAAGGCAGGCCCACTGGTTGGCCCGGCGGGTCCCGGCAGCCGCGGAGGGTGGCTGGGCTGGTTATACAGGCACCTCAGGAGCTCCTCCACGCCCTTGTCCGTCAGCTTGTTGTCCGCCAGGGCGAGCTCCCAGAGAGGCTCCGGGCTGTGCCACAGGTAGGCCGAGAGCGCCGCAATAGCAGAGTCCCCGAGGCCGTTGCCACTGACCAAAACCCGCTTGGATGCCACCCGCAGCCGAGTGAGCACCTGAGGGGTAACGTCAGGGGGGGGGACGGCTCCAGGGGGGAGAACATCGAGCCGGAATCGGCGATCCATCGCCGACAAACCGGCGACAGGCCCCCGATAGCGAGCCCCAAAGTTCTCCAGCGGGGTGGGCTGTCGGGCCCCTATCGGCGATGGCATGGCTGATCGGGGGTCGATGCATCCCCCCTGAGCCTGACCCCCCCCCCAACCATGAGATCCGACATCGCAAAGAAATTGCAACATCGCGCAAAATCACGACCAAACCCCCGGACCCCATCTTTCTGCGTCACTTTTCGAGCGAGGTCGATCTGTGAGGATCCCAGGGCACGACATTGAGCGAAAACGCCCGGCTCGAAAAAATGAAGTCGCTGGGATCTCAGGGAACGTTGTTACCCCCGAGCACCTCGAACAGCTTGCTGGCCCCGCTGTCGTCCAGCCCGCACCCGCACAGGTCAAGCATCTCCAGGCAGGAGGGCCCCCCTGCTTCGGCTACACGCAAGAGCGACCCTAGGCAAGAGTGACCTTTAGTGCTCGGATTCAGGGGCGCAAGGTGGCCACATCCAAGCGCGAAAGCAGCTACTATCTGGCCGTAGCTCGGACGTTCATTCCCGTGCATTGTTCGATGTCGCGCGTGCATTTTCCCCACGATCATCCAGGATGCTCCCCGATGGCCCTCGCCGACAGACATGCACACGCCCGAGCGATGCCGAGCTATCGCATCGCGCTCAGGGCCCTGGTGAGCCCGCACCAGAGGTCACTCCGGTCAAGGGTCGCTCCCCAGACCTCCGACGTCGTGATTTTTTCATGACGCCGACCCCCAAAGGTCTGGACCCCTGCCCCCAGAGGACCCATGCCTCATCCTGAGTCGGTTTTTGACGGGCCAGAGGCCCGGGAGGGGCCCCTGGAGGCCGGAAAGAGTGAAAAACCTCCCGTTCTGATTTTTTCACAACGCGAGGGGGTCTGGCCCTTACGCTTAGGTCGGGCATGTCCTCCTACAGGCGGATTCCGGAGGAACAAATACAAAATTACCCCCACAAAAAAAAACTCCCAAATAGTCCTACTCAAAACGACCCCAGACTACTTTTTATAACCGTTCTCGAACAGATTCCTCCTGTAGAGGGACGTGCTCGTCCCTGAGATCCGACGTTGCCAAAAAATTGCAGCATCGCCAAAAACCACGACCGGACCCCCGGACCCCATCCCTCTGCGCCATTTTTCGCACCGGATCGACCTGGGAGGCCCCGGGGCCCGAAAGGGAGCGAAGACGCCCGGCTCAAAAAATACCGAAACAAAAAGTCCGCAGAGCACGAAACGTCGTCTCCAGGCTACCTCTTAGAACCACTCTCGAATATATCTCTCCTGTAGAGGGACGCGCAGCGGACTTAAATGAAGGGGCCCTGAGGCACACAAATGAATCCACACGAATGAAAAGATTCCCCACATTTCCCATATTCTCTGGGTTTCTGTCTTCCCCCCACTTTCTATATTCTCCCACATCTTCTGGGGGATCGACGATTCCTTGTGTCTGTGTGTCTCTTCCCCTCCTGATTAAAAAAGCCCCGCGCGCGGCGCCGGCCTGCCGCGGAGGGCGGCGCCGCACGGCGGATCTCGTTCAGCAGGCCGTCCACGCCGTCGGGCAGCGACCGCCGGGCGATGTGCACCCCCGGGGCGGCCGCGGCCCCGGCCGGCCCCGGCGCGGCCCCGCCCGCCGGCGCGCCGCCCGGCGCCGGGGCGGCGGGCGCGCCGCCGGGCGGCGCCGCACCTGGCCGCTGTTGGTTGGCTGCGTCCACCGCGGCACCCCGCCCCTCCGAGCACCCCCCCTCGAGGCATGAAATTATCCCAGTGCGACCCTACCTAGGAGTTGGAACCCCTAGGAAAGCAGCATTAGTAGTAACAGTAAGGCTAAGCTAAAGCTAAGCTAAAACTAAGGTAAAGCTAAACTAAAGCTAAACTAAAGCTAAGCTAAATCGAGGCACCAAAAAAAAAAACACGGCGGGGGGCTGGTCCCTATATACGTTCGGCCTCGAGTGGGGGAGCCCCTTGCCGGGCCAGAGGGGCCCTCAGGAAACCGACGAAAGGGATGGAAAACCAGCCGGTCCCGGGGAAGGGGTCGGGACCTCTGGGGGTGGACGTCATGAAAGAAGTCCTCGGTCGCATTTTGACGCTCCCAGGGCCCAGCGAGGACCCAGCGATTGGCCCCAAAAAACCCTAACAATTCGGGAGGGGACCTAAGTTGGGACGACCAAGGACATCAGGGGCAGAGGGGTCTTTTTTGCAGAGGTGTCGAACCAGACCGCCCAGATCTAGTATCCCTACGAACGCAAAGACGGGGACCCCAGTGAGGCCGCGTCTTCATGGTGTTATCAAGGTTAGGGGTTCTTTTACCCTCGATGAGCGCCTGCCCGCTTTTTTGCTGTTCACCGCGGCACCCCGCAGACATCTGGCTGCTCCGAGTACTGTT